TATCGGAACCTATTTCCTTGACATGAGTATTGTGAGTTCTCTTGTTTGAGTACTAGTCCGTTTTGATGTTGTCAAACATCTTCCGTAATAGGAGATTATAACGGCAACACTCGGGCGGCTAGGTACTCTCAGTAAGAGGAGCTACATTACAAGATTGGGAATGTCCCCCTGCTAAAATAGGGAAGATGTCTTTGTTGTATACAAGGCCTCTCGTAGTGCGAGACTGTAAAATGCATGGTCGTGCACGGATGGATTTTAGAAATCATCTGTTTATTGACAGTCAGACTTGGAATCGAGAAACACTTCTGGACGTAATAAGGATGACATAATAATCTTACCTTATAGTTCATGAAGAGACATTAAGCGACATAGGAAAAAGGGTGTACACTAAATGCGCACTTGTCCGGAAGGACAAGTGGGAGATTGAAAGAAATAGTGTCCTTCGAACAAGTGTATTTTTCTGATAGCGGGTTCAGAATTATTAGAAAGCTAATATATTCAGCAAGGTCAAGTGATCGGAATGCCTGGGTGGAGCCGCTTCCGATCAGTAATATTAATGTATAATTAATATTACAGCTTAATCTTGACTAAACCCTTTGGGTCACACCCTAGAAAATATACGAACCGACTCGACGAATTAATTCGGAAGAAATCAACTCGTCGCCCGAGTATTAAATATTTAGACGTCGGAAATTCGAGCTTAGAGCGTCGGAAGTCGAGTAAAAATAATAAAAGATAAGACACGAAAATAATAAATCAACAAGACCAAAATACCCCTAGCATCGGAATGCCCCGAGCAAACCGAGTGCTAGGGGAATTTGGTATAGCATGGTGGCTAGCATGCGCACCAAGCCGAGCCTAGGCTGGCTGGTGCGTGCTAGCGCACCAATGCTAGCACAGCATGCTAGCTGTGCTAGGCCAGCAGCGCCAAGCAGCCCGCACAACCAAGTGTTGGGCGTGCTAGGCCAGCAGCGCCAAGCAGCCCACACAAGCAAGTACTGGGCGTGCTAGGCCAGCAGCGCCAAGCAGCCCGCACAAGCAAGTCCTAAGCGTGCTAGGCCAGTAGCGCCAAGCAGCCCGCACGCTTGTGCTGGGTCTACTAGCAGCCGCATATGGCAGCCCACCTTGGGTTGCCTTGGTGCCCAAGTATGGTGCCATATGGAGCATTGTGAGGAGTAGCTTGAGGCATGAGGTGGCGGTTTTTGGAGAGGGAGTGGGGAATAAGTTTGGTCCCCCCCCCCTCCTCCAAATGGTCCTCACCTAACCTCTCTCATGAGCTTGCCACTTGTTGATTTATTACTAGTTTGATTATTTATTTTATTTTAGGTTTAAAATAAAATGGAAAAATCAAATTCTCCCACATTGATGGGAGACTTTTTTCACTCTCTTGTTTTCCCTATAAATACCCAAGTTGGGGTATTGGGAAAATCACTTGAGTGAGAGTTGAAAAAGGCATCACCATTGTGAAAACCTTTGAACTAATTTAATCACTCGGGTTTTGGTCGGACCTTGCTAACTCCAAGGTAGCGGACCTAAAGTTGTTCGTCCTTTGTGGGTGGATACCGTTGGAGGCTCTCGTGTGAGCGGGGCTAAAGCTTTCAATTAAGAGCCCGTCTTTAAGGGCAAAGCACGCGTCAAAGGTAAATTACGATTCTATCCTTTTATGTTTATTTGTTATGTTTTATGTTTATGCTTTATGGTTTTATTAATTGCGAGTGGTTCTTTGGGCCGGGGTCGTTTCCGTTGTAAGTTGGACTTACCAAACCCCAACAATAATTTCCAAGAACCATTCTTTAATTAAATTGGTTTAACTTGGTGCAACAAAATAAATAAGGTAATTTCTCATTATTAATTTAATCAATTTCAATTAATCTTGAGATTTTGACAAGGTAAGAAGGAGTTGGAAAAATATGAACTTTAATGTTCAAATGAAAAATCCAACTATTAACACTTGTGAATCCTAGAAAAATTATATCTTCCAATATGAAGATAAACAAATTTTTATCACAAAGTTTTAAACTTTATGTTTCCAATCAACCAAAATGATCAAAACAACAAAGTTCAACATAAAATTCATCGAATTTAGTAGCTTTTAAGTTCCAATCACTTAACATAATTAAAGATTTAATCTTTAGCACTTTAGAAGCCTCAAAAGCAAAAACTTCACACTTAATGCAATTAATTTGCAATTATGTGAAAAATAAAACCAAGCTTTCAAACACAAATTACCATGAAGTAATCATGCCTAAAGAGGTTTCAAATTGCATATAAAATATGTATTGAACCAATTACATAACCACCATAAATATGCAATTAATTTTCAAGGTTAGAAAGACTTAAAAAATTTCGTAAAAACGAAAAACCCCTCGAAAAATGAATTTCTAGTCGTTTTTTGGCTAAAACTCGAGTTCTAAAAGGGTAAATCATTTCCAGAACACCTTTTCCACCCAAAATTCACTATTTTTGGGTCGAAATCTGGGTTCAGGAGCTGAAGTCAGCTCTAATACGAGGTTAAAATGGATAAAACGAGCTACTAATCTAATTAGCAACTTATAACCAGAAAAATTAAGCCATAAAAATACCTTGAAAAATATGATAATAAAAATAAACGAGCGGGGCTTCGATACCGCTGTTGGGGTTTGGTGAGTCCTACTCACCGCGGAAAAAAAAAAAAAACCCAAGCCAAGGATCACGCTCGCAATAATTAATATCACTAAAGCATAAAATAATCACAAAGGGCAAAATAGGAAATATACCTTTGACGCGTGCTTCGCCCGACCGAATGGGCTCTTACTTGAAAGCTTAGCCCTGAAAACACAAGAGCCTCAAACGGAAATCCACCACAAAAACGACTTCCGACTTTTAGGTCCGTTGCCTCGAGGTTAACGATGCCAGACCAAAACCCAAGTATTATATGAGTTTAAGGGTTTTTGCAAATGCAATGCCCTATTGAACTCCTACTCAAGCAAAGAATTCTCAAGCCGTGCTTTGGCTATTTATAAGGAAGGATAGCTTGTGAATTCCACTCATCTTTCAATGTGGGACTTTTTCACAAAAAGATCCCACATGGAAAGATTGATGAACTCAACCCTTAGTTAAATAAACCAAGGAACAAGTAACAAGTGTCACATGGTTAGGTGAGGACCACTTTCTCACTTGGTCCCCAAGGCATTTCACATGCACTGTGAACTAACCATGTGTCACCTAACCTTGAGCCCCAAGTTGGGTTCAGTTGGGCCACTTTCTTTTGGCCCGTGTCCATGACCCATCGCCCGGATCCACGGCCCTTGCCACATGCGCTGCCACCGTGGCGCGCTGCCAACGTGGCACGCTTCAACTTGGTGGCTGCCACTAGGCGGCTGCCAGCGTCGCTGCCACGTGGCACGCTCCTATTTGGCGCGCTTTCCTAGCCTTTCGCGTGGCTAGGATTTTACTTGTTACTTGAAGTATTTTCCAGTCTCACTAAATCCTAAATTTTGGCTCGACATTTAAGATTATCCGACGCTTAATTTCTACGCTCCAAGCTCGAATTTCCGACGTCTAAATATTTATTACTCGGGCAACTCATTAATTCTTCCGAATTAATTCGTCGTGTCAGTTCGTTCATTGCTTAGGTGTGACCTGAAGGGTTCAGTCAAGATTAAGCTGTAATATTAATCATACATTAATATTTCTGATCGGAAGCGGCCTCCACCTAGGCATTCCGATCACTTGACCTTACTGAATATATTAGCTTTCTAATAATTCTGAACCCACTATCAGAATAATACACTTGTTCGAAGGACACCATTCCTTTCAAAAATAGGGTACGTTTGGATTAAATACTTATTAACCCAAATATTAAAACTTGTTTTTTTTAAAATTCAATAATTAAAATAGTTTGACTCACAATATATTTTATAATTAAATAAATAATTTATAAGTACATTAAAAATACAGGGTATTACATAGTGTGTTTAGTTTGGTGTATTAGCTTTGTTCTTATTTACTTTTAGCTCTCTTAGGTTGTAATTTGCTCTTTATTTATGAAGTTCTCATTTAAAAAAAAAAAAAAAAAAAAAAAAAAAGAAAGTAAGTAATTTATTTAAAATCTACGAGAAGATAGTTATATTACATACTTTGAATGCGCACTTTAAAGACTACATCATGAAAAGATCTATCGTAACTTCAATAAGTTGTACATCGAAAGAAGTAAATTAATTTACGAGAACTGGATTGAATTTACCTTCAACATTGTACCTTTCATACCTTGGTCCAAAGGTAGAACCCTTGTTTTGTGATGAACCTTCGAATTAATTGAATTGCTATATAAATCAGGAAAATTTAACATTTCTAAACAATTATATATGTACAATAAAAAACAAGGGCCAATAATTGCATTACAAATATTGAACTACTTGAACTACTTCATTAGATGATTGAGCAGTTACAAAACATTTACAATTAAAAACCTTAAAAGAAAACCCCAATTAATTTAAACCAAAACCATAGCTCCCTAATGGCCTAATTAACAATCTGCCAAATAATACCTACCACAAAAAGTACTTCAACTTATTGAATTTAGCATTATTTAAAATTTTCATAAGTTTGGAATCTATATAAAGTAGTAAACCCTAAAACCCCTCTAAATAGGAAATACTATTGCTTTGAAAATAACTAAATGACATAAATAATCCCGGCCACATATGAAACATTGTCATTATAGAGCAAAGTAAACCCTAAACCATACCATAAACCAACAATTAGCAACGGAAACCTAAAATCACCAAATCAAAGGGAAGGAATGAATCTAAAGTAAACCACTAAAACTTGATACCTTCTCCTTCAAAGGAAATCTCACGTTACCACTCTACATACCACTCCACAAACACTGATGGAGAGGGAGAAATTCAAACGTTCGAAACTGATATGATGATTATGAAACAAAAAAGATACCATTCTAAAATTTATTCTAGAAACCATAACGGGGCAATGTAGCCTTGAAACGGAGAGTACACTTGGTAAAACGATTCACCTTTCGAATTGGCATGCATAATTCGGTTAGTACAACAAATATGCAATAGATAGTCGTTTGAAACCACTCTACATATATGCTTTTTAGGTTTTTAGTGTTTGCTGAGCACCTTATTGTATCCAAGCATCCACACAACTCTTGAAAGCTCAAAACATCTCCAAAGTGTTGACATCATACAGATACATAATCATTAGAGCGTGTCCCATGACAATATGCTGTAAGCCATATATACATAATAATGAGTTTTCAAATATTTACATAAAATATCCAAATCTACACAAAATTTACTAGTAACAAGTGAATAAGCCTCTCTATGTATTTAATAGGATTCTTGGCATCAAAAACTGGATACCAAATATATATTGGTGACCGGGCATGTCTCAAACACCATTAGCCGTACTCCAAGATGAAAGCTGTTATTGTTTCATACTATGAAAGTCTTCTTTAAACTCTTTTGACCACGTTTTCTTCTAGGGTTAGCTCCAATTATGCAAGAAAAGGCATTGACGAGTTCAGAATCCTCATCACTAATTAGCATCCGGGCTGCATTTGGGTTGGCAAGGAGTAGCTTTGCAACAAGATATCCTGCAACTGACCATGTCTGGAATAATCGGGCTTGCTTACCAATAAACCTTGCTCTTTTTGTGTCATAATACTCTGGCCACTTGTCTTGGGATAAGCGTTTCTCGGCTATCTGAACAGCCTTAGCTGCTATTTCAGGTCTATTCATCTTAATACATGCAACAGTAAGCTGTGAAAAAAATATATAAATTGTCAGAAGTATTATTATACTTTGTACTATGTATATCTTTAACTTATCCAAAGATATATCATCTGAATGCAAGATGTAATACCACTCTCATTCATGGGCAAATTAAAAAAAAATGACATTATCTCTCTACCCACTTTCTCATTCCTCTTTTCCACTTTTTTTCATGGACATTTTTTTCTAAAACTTCTCACACATTTTGGGCTAAGAAAAAAACCCACACCACTCTCTCTCCCATTTTTTGTCTCTCCTAAAATATTACTATCATTACATTATTTTTAATATGTGTAGTTTTTTTTTTTTTTTTTTGCTGATTTGGTACCATGTCCCACACTACTGTAGCAATGAATATTACTATCATTACATTATTTTTAAGCTGCATACTGACATATTATGTGTAATTTGAATAGTTTTGTTAAGGCGACAATTAAAGAGTTGCAAACGTCATCAAATCTCGTGATTAGTGGGAAATGTAACGACCACATTTAGTTACAAATAATGGGTAGTTACAGTATATGCTAATTACCACCACTTAATAGCATGGAATTGATTTATCATATTCATGGATACAACTAGGAAAAATCAGTTTTGGTTATGATAATCAGTTTTACAATATTCATGAACAGTTTTGTTAAGGCGACAAAAGTTTTTATAAAATCCACCAAATGTCACCGAGGTTTTAAAAATTTTACAGAGTGCCATTAATGACTAACGGTCGTTAACTCTGTCAGTCATTAATGTTTAATCATGACATGATCATGACACTGTTTCTTGATTTTCGTGATGAAAATTGTTCGGGTTAAGTTTTGGGGGTTACTTTGATCCTTTATGGATTCAAATTAAGCTCGAAATTGGCAAAAAAAAATAATTATAATGAACCCCAGTTATATATATATATATATATATATATATATATATATATATATATATATATATATATATATATACATATATACATATATATATATATATATATATATATATATATATATATATATATATATATATATATATACATATATACATATATATATATATATATATATATATATATATATATATATATATATATATATATTTGCCAATTCCAAGCTTAATTTGGACCCATAAAAGATCAAAATAACTCCCAAAACTTTACCCGAACAATTTTCGTCACGAAAATCGAAAAACAATGTTATTGTTTTTAAAAGAACCAATCATATCATGACATGTGTCGTGATCATGTCATGATTAAACCTTAATGACTAACAAAGTTAACTGCCGTTAGTCATTAATGGCACTCGGTAATTTTTTAAAAAACTTAGTAGCATTTAGTGAATTTTGAAAACCTTGATGGCATTTGGTGAATTATTAAAGTGTTCAGTGGCGTTTATTTATTTCTTCTCTCTTAGTGAACCCCTCAACTATCATACTTTAATATTTCTAGATTCTCTCTTTCTCAACTATATTACTTTATTTTTACACCAACCCCACTTTCTTCATATTTTATTACTTTCTACTATTTCTCCTAAAACGCCACATATGGAGAAAGGAGCAAGTTATAAAATACGGAGGAATTATAAATTTTGTGTGCCAAGGCCATGTACACGACCAAAACTAGCATTGTGGTTTGTTTAGTTATTTGCTACCATAATAACACATCAGTTTCATATTGGCAAGTATTCAAGAGTATCTAGTGCCAAACTGATTTGAAATGTTTTGTTCGAACGAGATGCCATAAACGTTATCGAAATTGAGTATACATGTTTTTAACAAGCCTAAGATTTAAATTCCTATATCTCTCCAAGTAACAGATGGAATATGAAATATATTTACAATAAACATTCACATTTTTGCAAGAATCTTATGCACGATTATGTACATGTTTTAGCCAAAGCACACTGACTAAGCTAGTCATATTAGTAGAGTGTGCATAATGCTGAATAATTGTATACATGTGTTGTACTTCCTCTTTAATTTTATTATTATTACCTTTTTACAGTGTGTTGGAACTAGGACCAAGAAAATGGAGAAAGGAAGTCAAAAGAACATATTTACCATAACCCTACTCCCTGTGTCTTCCATGTCAGCCATCTAACTAAGCAGACACCACCTTCTCCATCCACAGCCAAGTTGGTCCAACCTAGCAGCCCACACAACCTTCAAAGCTTCTCCACCCATCACCACCCATCTGAGTAATACCCACAGACACCACCATCATCTTTCTCTCCTTTTGTAGATTTATTGCAAGTAAGTATATTTACACATCATCTTTCTCCTCTCCATCTCTCTTTGACTGGTCTCTGTGATGATTTCTTACTCGTGAGAAAGTTGGGTCAAAGTAATGGTAGGGTTGGAATTATGTGGCAGTTTCATTCACCATCTCCCTGTCTTCTTTCTGCATTTTGAGAATGATGGTGGCATGGACAAGCAATTCTGAAGGTTGAACCAGTGATGGTAAAAATGTATGTAAGGGTTTTGAGTCATACTCTTTGGGGTGGGTCGAGTGTGACTATAGGTGGTGTAATAAAGTTCTTTTACCAAATGTAAATTCTCACTACAAACCATGTTCTTTTGATTTTGATTTTGTTTTTTGTGTTTGACCTTTTTTTTATTTTTTATTCTAAACTACATCATGTTCTTTTATAAATAGAAAATAGAAATGTTCTTTGGACTTCCATATGTATTTGGATTTGAAAAGTATTTTCTTTTGGGTTCATCTTCATTTCCTTTAGCCCATATGTTCTTTTGTTTTGACTCTCATGTTCTTTTGGGTTCATGTTTGCTTATTATAGCTTTTATAATTTTTGAAGTTCATTTTCGTTGATTTTAAATTTTTAACCCTTATAATCTTTCAAGTATCGATGGTTGTGTATTTAATCATTTTATGTCTTCAGGGGGGTCATTTCAAAATGGGCTGTCAAGTTTTGGGTGGTTACATTATGCTGATTAACAACAACTCATTACATGGAATGTATATTGTCATATTCATCAATATAAATAGATCAAATCAGTTCTGTTCATTACAAATTTCTGAGAGTATTTTTTAATCATTCAGGGCTTGGGATTCAGGACATGAACAGAATACAGCTAGTCAGCCACCTTCACTTGATCCCATTTGATAAATCACTTCCACTTCAAGGTTAATCCTTGTATATTAAACTTTTGCATATTGTATTTCCCAACATTAAAGACATAGCAAAATACTCCCATAAGCACAGACACACAGCAACAAAATCAATATGAGTAATGGTGCGTCATTAAAATGGCCTAGCATACACAAGAAAGATGATGAATGAATAAAAATGCTGACCTGCCAAAGCAATGTCGGCCAGGAGCCAGCATTGTGATAGGACCAGGGCCTGCAAAAATGAAGGAGCTATATGAAGATGTACAATATTAGCCATTGAAAAGTGAATGATGTATTACAGAATATTACTCCCTCCATTATGTTACTGTAACTACATAAATAAAGGAAAAGTAAAAAAAGGGGATCACACATGTGGATACTTTTGTTTTAAAGAAGACCGAGATAGAGAGAAATCGGGCTCCACAATGTAGGTCGTGGATGATAAATAATGAAAATAAGTTTGTCATAAAGGGAATTGTAATGGATCAGCACTTGGGCCGGCCCATTAAGGTTTACCACCGTAGGTCCAAGTCCAAGAAGAATCACGTGCAGCAAGAGAGGCAACCTCAAGTCAACTACAACGGTAACCAAGAGGAAGAGGAGACGAATTTGGAAGAACAGGGGAAACAGTAGTTTTTGTCAAGCAAGCTATTTTGAGAAAGAGACAAGCTTGAAAAGGAGGAGACACCACTTTAGCAACTATGACAAAGTGATTGTGAATTCCAATTTGTAGAAGTCAGCCGTAATTAGTTTAGGGCAAATTGTAGTGCTTGAGTATAAATTGTAAGGCTTGTAGTTGTAGCCACTTATCCAGAAAATTTGTGAGAACTTGACAGAGATTAGTAGCCTAAAGCTACCTTAGAGAGTGATAGCCTAAAGCTGTCAACTATCCCCTTTTGAGTAGTTGGTCTTGTATGGACCCGGTCTACAATAAATTATTGTAGACCCAAAATTTGACACTTTCAAATAATATAATCACATTCTAGATGATATAATCACATTTTTAGATGATGTAATTATCTTTTTGTGAGGCATATTTTGAATTATATAATCTCATAGTAAATCATTTAATGAGATTATATAATTATCTTTAGGATGATAAAATTTAAAAATCATCTTTTGAATGATGTAATTTACTATTTGATACTTTTTATAATGATAAATTCACTTATTGAGTGATACATTTACATAACAGTTTCAGGATAATATAATCACTTTTTTAGTAATATAATCACATTTCGTATGATATAATCACATTCGTATGGTATACTAAAAGGTTGGGTCTACAATAAGTTATTGTAAACCGGGTCTATTCTAGTCTTAATCCTTTCGTTGATCAATTAATTAGACTCAAGCTTTTGCCTTAATCCTTAATTAATTATAAGATAAGTTTTGCGAGCAACTGGTCCCTTACAATTTGGTATCAGAGCAGGTACGATCATGGCCGGAGGACCGTCGTTGAGCCAACGTGCTGATGCGGCGGACGAAAGGTTGGAAGTAGTCGAATTCCGATTGAAGTCCATTGAGGACAAATTCCAGAACAGGACGTGTCCATAGGGCGTGCGGTGGCGGAGGCCGTGAGTAAGGCCATGGCTGACACCCAGAAGGCCATTACCGACAGCTTCACAACTCTATTCGAAGCCGAGAAGAAGAGACAGGAGGATGACAGAATCCGGTTGGAGGGAAGAATTGACCCCTTCCGAAAAGACCAGGAAGTGCAGGCCAACATAGCAGCGAAGGAGCAGGAGAAATTTCGAGACGAAATTCGTGCCACTATGACAGCAGCGGGGGGGAACCGACCACCGCCATTAACCCCACAATCTCCTCCAGTGCGACACCTGGATGGGGAAAACAGCCAGAATCAGGGGATGCATTCTCCCGTGGGTGGTGGGTTTGGAATGCCGGAATGGAGGGTGAGGGAGCCATGAGGGTGGCAGGACGAGGGCGGTGGAGACGGAAAACGGTGGAAACACAGGAAGTTGGAGATGCCGGAAGGGAAAGATCCGGACAGTGGGTGATGAGAGCAAAGATGTACTGACTACTACCAGCTTTCCGACGAAGACCGAGTTACGGCGGCCGTGGTGGCGATGGATGGTCCGGCACTCTAGTGGTTTCAATGGGAGAACCGGCGGCGGCCGTTTGCGCACTGGGCGGATTTGAGGAGTCGAGTGTTGAAGGAGTTTCGCCCGGTGAACTCGAGATCGCTGCAAGAACAATGGTTGGCCGTGCAACAAACGACGACCGTGGAGGAACACAGAAGGAGGTTCATTGAAACGACGTTTCCCTTGGATGACATTCCTGAAGAAATTATGAGAGGTCAATTCATAAATGGGTTAAATGAAGAGATAAAGGCTGAAATCCGACTCTTAGATCCGGCCACGTTGGATCGGGCAATGGATTTAGCCGGAAAAATTGAAGCTAGGAACCGGGTCAGCAAGGGCAAGACGAGTGTGGGCCCGTGGCGGGGCGGGTCCAGTTCATCCGGCCCAGCAGGGAGCGGACACAGCAGTAAGGGAGGAGGTGGGCTTATATCTACGTATGGGCTGCCCACGAATAACGGCCCAAGTAGAGTATGGCCTAGGGCTAGTGAATCCTAAGGCTCAGTAAGCCTTAACAAGCCCAGTCCCAGCTCAGGCTCCAAGTCTATCAATGAGCCTCGAAGGTTGACTGAACTCCAGGAGCGAAGAGCAAAAGGGTTGTGCTTTCGATGCGATGAGCGATGGGGCGTGGGACATCGGTGCAAGCAGAAGGAGTTGAATGTGTTGATGGTGGCTGGCGAGTCGGAGTTGGAGGAGGAAACCGAAAGGAAAGAGGAGGAAGAAGAGGTGCGTGCTTCGTTATGCTCGGTGGTAGGAATAACTAATCCTAAAACCATGAAGCTCAAGGGACTAGTACAAGGCAAGGAGGTGATAGTCATGATCGATCCCGAAGCGACGCACAATTTTTTGTCACTCCGGTTGGCTGAGGAGGTTGGGATGCCGCTCGATGAAGGAGGTGGATTCGAAGTGTCTTTGGGCAATGGTGAAACCGTGAGGGGGAGGGGCGTATGTAGAGGAGTGAAAATCGAATTGGAGGGAGGTGTGGTGTTGGTAGAGGATTTCTTACCCTTGGGATTGGGCAATGTCGATTTAATTCTTGGAGTACAATGGCTTGAGAAGCTTGGAACGGTAACTACGAATTGGAAAACTCATGTCATGAGTTTCGAACTTGAGGGGAAACCGATTACCTTGGTGGGGGATTCTTCCCTTGACAAAACCCCAGTGTCCCTTAAAGCCATGATTCGCAACCTTTGTCGAAATAAAGGAGGTTTACTTGTGGAGGTAGCAAGAGAGCCGAATGAGGAGGGTGCGGTTCCGAAATTTTTAAGAGAGGTGGTTAGTAGTTTCAAAGGGGTGTTTCGGATGCCTAACGGGTTGCCACCAAACCGAGATCACGAACACTCCATTACCAACCCGGTTAGCGTGAGACTGTACCGCTATCCTCAAGCTCAAAAGGATGAAATTGAGAAGCTCATCCAAGAGATGCTTGATGTCGGCATCATTAGACCCTCTACTAGTCCTTTTAGTAGCCCGGTCTTACTTGTGAAGAAGAAGGATGGTTCTTGGCGGTTTTGCGTGGATTACCGTGCCTTGAATAAAGAAACGGTTCCGGATAAATATCCGATACCGGTGATTGATGAGCTACTTGATGAGCTCCATGGAATGGTAGTGTTTTCTAAGTTGGACTTGAAGTCCGGCTATCATCAAATTCGGGTGAGGCCCGAGGACACACATAAAACGGCTTTTAGAACCCATGAAGGGCACTACGAATTTCTCGTGATGCCATTCGGGTTGACTAATGCCCCGGCTACGTTCCAATCATTGATGAACGATGTATTTCGACCATTTTTGAGGAAGTTTGTGTTGGTATTTTTTTTATGACATTTTTGATTTATAGTAGGAGTAAAGAGGAGCATGTGAAGCATGTGAAGTTGGTACTTGAGAAGTTGGCCGAAAATAGTTTGTATGCCAACTTAAAGAAATGTGATTTTGGACGTGCCAAGGTGGCCTATCTTGGGCATGTCATTTCGGCTCATGAGGTGGCCATTGATGGAGAGAAGGTGGAGGCAATTGTGAAGTGGGAAACACCCAAGAACTTGAGGGAGTTGAGAGGATTCCTTGGGTTAACGGGATACTACCGCAAGTTTGTAGCCAAATATGCGCAAATTGCGGCCCCATTAACTGCCCAACTCAAAGAAGGATAGCTTTGGATGGTCCGAAGAAGCTACCAAGGCCTTCGAAGAGCTCAAGTTGGCTATGACTAAGGCACCGGTGCTTGCTATGCCCGACTTTACTAAGGAATTTGTGGTTGAGACCGACGCCTCCGGATTTGGTGTAGGTGCGGTGATGGTGCAAGGAGGAGGCCCATTGCTTATTTTAGCAAGCTCTTAGGGGTCCGAGCACGAGAAAAATCAATATACGAGAAGGAACTTATGGCCATATGTTTGGCTATTTTGAGGTGGAAGCACTACCTCCTTGGAAGACATTTCATAGTGAGGACCGATCAACAAAGCCTTCGCTACATCACTCAACAACGAGAGGTGGGTGAAGAATATCAAAAGTGGATGCGTAAACTAGTGGGGTTCGATTTTGAAGTGCAATATCAGTCGGGTGCCTCAAACCGGGTAGCCGATGCTCTTTCTCGTAGGGATCAAGCCAAAGTGCAGTTGAGTGCAATAAGTCACTCATGCGTTGTGGACCGGAAGGCATTGGAAAAGGATATTGAGGCTGATGAGTGGATGGCCCAAATCAGATTGGGCCTTGAGAAAGGAGAAGAGAGCCCAGTAGGCTTCAACTTAGAAGGTCCAAGAGTGATGTTTAAAGGGAGAGTTGTTATCCCTAAAACATCTCAGCCCAGATCCTACTACATGAGTATCACAACACCTCAACCGGCGGCCATGACGAAGAGGTCAAAACGTACCTCCGCCTCGCCGCCGACTGCAACTGGGTGGGAATGCGACGAGCGGTGGGGGATTATGTGCGGAAGTGCAATGTTTGCCAGAGAAACAAGGCTAGTCAGCGGAGCCCAATGGGTCTACTCCAACCACTGCCGATTCTGGCGGCTATTTAGGAAGACATCTCCATGGATTTCGTGGAGGGGCTACCTTTGTCGAAGGGGATTGACTCGGTACTTGTGGTGGTGGATCGGTTGTCAAAGTACAGCCACTTTATCGGGCTAAAACATCCCTTCAACGCCCTCCCTGAGAGTAGCTGATTATTTCGTGCGCGAGGTGGTGCGCTTGCACGGATTTCCCTCTTCCATTGTTTCGGATCAGGATAGAGTGTTTACGAGCATTTTCTGGCGCGAGTTGTTTCACTTGCAAGGGACTCAATTGAAGCGGAGCACCGCCTATCACCCACAATCCGACGGCCAGACCGAGATTGTCAACAAAGGTTTGGAGTCGTACTTGCGATGCTTCATCGCCGATGAACCCAAGAAATGGGCCAATTGGTTGCACTGGGTAGAGTATGCCTACAACACCTCCCCTCATTCCGCGACCAAGCTCACACCATTTAAGGTGGTTTACGGCCGTGAACCGCCCTCTGGTGAATTGGCAATGGGCAGACCCCCATAGATAAATTGGAGGAAACATTGAAAGAGAGGGATGAGATGTTGAACGAACTAAGGGTGAATCAGGTCATGAAAGATTATGCGGATAAGAAACGCCGTGACGAGCAATTCGAAGTTGGGGATGAGGTATTCTTGAAGTTGCAACCTTACCGTCACAGGTCCCTGGCAATTCGGCCAAACGAGAAGCTTGGGGCTCGATTCTATAGGCCTTTTCGTGTGTTGGACAGAATTGGAAAGGTGGCATACAAATTAGACCTTCCACCGGCGTGCAAGATTCGTCCGGTTTTTCATATATCCCAACTCAAGCGTGCAGTGGGGTCAGCTCCGGTGAACCCTACAATTCCAGTCCAATTAACGGCGGAAATGGAATTAGTTGTGGAACCCGAGGATGTGCACAAGGTAAGGCAATCCGCAAGGGGATCGAATACTTTTCCAGAGGTCCTGATCAAGTGACGTGGACTGCCACCCTTTGAAGCGACTTGGGAGGATAGTGCCACCATTGTCCAGCGGTTTCCTTCCTTCCACCTTGAGGACAAGGTGAATCTCGAGGCGGCGGGTATTGTAATGGATCAGCACTTGGGCCGGCCCATTAAGGTTTACCACCGTAGGTCCAAGTCCAAGAAGAATCACGTGCAGCAAGAGAGGCAACCTCAAGTCAACTACAACGGTAACCAAGAGGAAGAGGAGACGAATTTGGAAGAATAGGGGAAACAGTAGTTTTTGTCAAGCAAGCTATTTTGAGAAAGAGACAAGCTTGAAAAGGAGGAGACACCACTTTAGCAACTATGACAAAGTGATTGTGAATTCCAATTTGTAGAAGTCGGCCGTAATTATTTTAGGGCAAATTGTAGTGCTTGAGTATAAATTGTAAGGCTTGTAGTTGTAGCCACTTATCCAGAAAATTTGTGAGAACTTGACAGAGATTAGTAGCCTAAAGCTACCTTAGAGAGTGATAGCCTAAAGTTGTCAAATATCCCCTTTTGAGTGTAATCCTTTCGTTGGTCAATTAATCAGACTCAAGCTTTTGCCTTAATCCTTAATTAATTATAAGATAAGTTTTGCGAGCAACTGGTCAGGAATAAAGTAAAAGGGAGTAAAACTTAAAAAAAAAAGGATAAAAGGGAAATTGAGTAAAATTTAGGAAAACAGGGGAAGTATATAACTTTCGAAGCCTTTAGAGTCGCACACTAACATTTTCCTCCTGGTATGAGTTCCCAATTTCCACAAATCCCTCTATACAAATCTTCCAACCCAATTTTCTACAGATTTATCTATGGAGAATACTCGTCTTAAAATAGTGTGTTAAGACAAAATAATACTTTCTGCCTTTCTCAATACTTGCATCATTTTGAATATACACTTTTCCAACGTACTACTTTGACCATTAGTTATCTATAGTTTTGCTTTAATTGAAATATAAAAATATATATAAATTTTGAAAATCTAAATTAAGATGAACTCAACAACAATTAAAGTAATGAAATTTTTATAAATGCATATGTAAAACATGGTCAAAGTTGGAACATGATGCAAATATTGAGAAACGAAGGAATTACATGACAAGGAGTATACAATGCATAAGCAGGGTAAGAACCGTACGTATTCTTGGGATCACAGCCAGTGATGATTTGCCACTCCTGACCTTCAAGAGCAGGATAACATATCTTCAACGGCATGTCTGCCACGAGGTCTGCCCATTTGGCTTCAATGAGGTCCAAAATGGCATGGGATTGATCTTTTGTTGCAAGGCCACTTACCACAGACCAAAGGTTACCCAGCGAGAAAAATCGAAAATCCATGTGCGCTGGTTGCAAGTTACCAATTAGATAACCTCCTTTACCTGGCATCCATTCCACTAGCCAAGGAGAGATCTGATCAGGGTATATATTAAATTTGTTGACAGCATCATATGAGTATTCTTCAGTCTTGTAACGATAAATCTCATTAAGTTTCTTCATATCAACCCAATAATATTCCCTGATGTGAAAAGCTAATGCAACCAAACGATTGTTCAAAGCACGTATTAGGTCTGTTGATCCATCTTCTGGAGCAAGCATTTCACGAGAACAGCGTAATGCAGAATAAAAAAGTGCCTGAAAAGCAAGCAGTGTAAAGATAAATGGAGTGATGACTTCACAATAAAAAACTAGTGAAGGAGCATAAGAAAAAGGAATTCAATTAGAAACAACTTCAAGTTCAGTTTCCTGAAACTCTAATAAAAGTTCCACCTCTATTTTCTCTCTTCTATATTTTCATTTTACTTCCCACTTGGACCTATCAATCAGACTTGCAACTCTTCTAGGGACTTGAATTTCCTCTCCAATTAAAGCCACATCAATACATCATATACGTTCATTAGACTTTCTATCATTGTATGGATCTAATCACTTTGGAAGGATCAGTCCCAACTCCTAATGTCGCGCCCCTTCCTAACCCACATCTCATCATACGCCCCAGAGATAAATGACATATATTTCAGTACGAAGATTTTTTCTGCATACTGTTCCCTAACATTACCGTTTATTTGACTACCTACCGCCCTCCAGCAGCTCATACTGTCAGTCTGTCCTCCCTTTCCTATGCTTCCAAGGTCCATCAGATGATCAGATATGAGTAATAGAATTTTCCCCACAGTAAGAACCTAATTATAACATCAAGACAGGATTGTCTCTTGCTGGACCAAAGACATTCCTCATAACAGGATTGTCTCTTACTGGACCAAAGACATTCCTCATACCCAAATGCATGGCGTCTGCATTTTTTTTCACCCACCTCTCCATGGAGTTTCTCTCCTCTCCACCTTTTCATCTTGCTTGACAATATACGTCACAAATTATTTCACCCACTTTCCAGTAATACCCATACCCAATTACTCCCCAGTAAACTGTTAATAATTAGGAAGGTTAAGATGAATTGATGAAAATATCTCTAATCAAATTAAGGAAAAACTACTGAAATATGATTGTATTTATAATGAAAACATGGTGGGGATCGCTGATTACAACCTAGCCAACATTTGAGAGGTTGATGCTCTCCGAAGTATTGATTTCTCTATGTACACTTACCACTATTCAATATGTCTTCCTCTCTCTTAAACTGCTAGCTATCTTGTTATTCAAGCCACTAATAACTGGAACATAATGGAACTACCTAAATGACCCTCCTCCTTATATAAATTATTAGCTTTTTGGAACTCCAAATTTTCTACCTTGTCCTCAATAAGGATAGTAGTAGGTGAAGAATTGAGAGATGAAACCAAATTTAAATCCCCAATATGCTTGTTCCTATCTTGTTTACTCATGTATTTATATGATTTACAGCTTTCAATAATCCTATTATTCTGATGCTTGAAAGAGATTCATGTTAGAATTCCAGAAAATTCCTATTTCTCATTCCCTTAGTTTAATGCATGTTTGTTTGTGTTGGATTCCTTCGTACCTAACAAGCTGATTTTCCAACGTGTTTATTTACTCATTTTGTCATTTTGTCTATCTTAGTTTAGTGAACAGCTTAACCCCCTCTCCGACATAGCTTATCCCTAATCATAGACTCCATTGTATCACTTGTGAATCCTAGTGGAAGTATGACCCTTCCTTGCCACCACACTAGTTTAGGTTTTGTTTGACCCAGGTGATATTTGTCAGCAAAATAACCTATAAATCTGATTCATAACTAAGGTAAGTTTAGAACATGACTTGGCTTCTAAGAAGATGAAATCCATCTAGACTTTTCAAAGACAAAAAAATTTCCACGCTATCCTATCTTAATTTATCTACGCATTTATATTACATTATAGGGGTACAAAATAATTCTTTAGGTGCTATTGTCCAGTGTACATCACATATTGTATTTTCTCCCAAGATTTCAGAAAATTTTTTAGGCTTCAAATTTAAAAATTAAAGGCAATACAAAATATATAGCTTAGCTTGCCAGTCTTGCCTGTTCTTGCAAAATTACAACCCTTATCCTAAAACAAAATATTGGTGACTAAATGTCATAAAATATAATTTTCAATTAACCAAAATTTCTAACAAAAAATCTGCTTTTTCTTACCTTTACAATAAGTTTACATAATACACGAGCCTTTAATGACCAGTGCACACAAGCCCCTCTCTGTAGATACTAAAGCTTCATGATACATCACTAGATTCATGCTTGTGTTGCTAAGTGCACACAAGCCCCTCTCCGTACAAGCCCTACACCTTTGCTAATAGCTAGACACGAGTGTGTCGCACACTCTTACACCCTAACCTATGGACAAGACCTATTTGGTATATTCAATATTTTGCAAAAATTGGAATTTGTTTACCAGAGAGTGTCTACATTGAAACATAATTCTTCATTAATGCTCCAATATTAACAATGACGAAAAATGTTTGAATGGATACTTTTCAACAATTTACCACTGCATCAAACGTTTTGCTAAACTGACAATAGTATGGTGTTTGTTCTATGTAAGGCCTCATCATTACAGGTGTTTGACGACACTAAATAAAACTCCACGTGAAAGAAAACTTGTAAGAGTTGTTTGAACATAGAAAAAAAAACAAAATTAAAAAACCCACCTATTTATACTAGACAAATAAATCTTGAAAGATGTGAATAGAAACCACCTTGGTTTCCCTTTAGGAAAGAGAGAGAGCTCTGATGAATCCAAGAGGGGAAAAATGCTAACAACAATTTTGTTTACTCACTAGTCAATTTTTTTTCCTGTGTCAAAGGTGATAGATTTTATCCCATTAACAATCCGCCAACACCCTACCCAGATCCGAGTTTAGCCCAAAGTCTTGACCCGATCTAAATTTGCCTAAAAGTCCCAACCCAAAATGACTAGACCCAAAATGACCTGCCTGAACAATCCGATTTCCAAATCTAGTACACCCCACCCCCACCCTAGTCCCCTAAAAAATAAAGAATCACAAGAATACCTTTCGTCATTGTAAGGTAGCATCACATTCCACTGGTGCTATATCCTTTCTCAACCACTTGGATGACTTTCCCAACTCATCTTTCTACCCTAAGATCTTTTATGAAAGCCCAATAAGTGCAAGGTAGCAAACACTGAATCTTGATCTATTATTCTGATGTAACAATTTTATTGTCTAGAATCTCTCAGATGAATTCTCAATATGTATTTATTTCACATTACAAAGAGAGTCATAATGTAAGCCCGCAATTAGAAAAATTTATCGGTGCATTAAGATAGCTTTGAAAGTCCTTTATAATCTTTTTTCATGATGATACCCATTTAATGTGCTCAATCATCATGGCACATAATTTTAGGAAATAAATTGATGGTCAAGTCCTCAAATGTTAATTTGTTAAAAAAAATGGATGTGATGAAAGATAATTGGGCATTAACTTTGTTAAATGACAGAGTATAGGACCCAAAGTTTTAGTTGTGGAAATAGTGAGGTAATAATCATATAAAGACATTACCATTTTTAAAATTACATTAAGAATTCCCCTTGTGAGGAAGACTTTCTAATGATTATTTTTTCTTACCTAATAAAAATTACCAATATTTGAAATGGCAAGCTGAATTAGAACGAATGAAAAAGGACTGTGGGAAATTGGCAAGGAAGAAATAAACTGCTACTTGTAAAGCAGTAAATCTATTTAGTGTAGACTTTTACAAAAGCATACAAAGAGGAGCAGCAAAAAAATTTTGCGAAGGATAGAAAAGGCAATGCAGCAGATGGCTCATTAATACCTGTATTTCTAAAGGATGCCCATGAATTCCCATGCGACGGTCTATCATGCATGAACCATCAGTAACCAACAAGGTTGGGAACATATCAAAGCCATCTGCAAGACATAATCTTAAAATCATCTTCATTCCAGTCTGCACATCAACTCTTTCCTGAAGAGACAGATCTCCAGAGCATTTTCCATAGGCACGTAAAAGTATAATCCACCAAAGCCCTGAAAAATTCACATCAAAGGATGAGAAATTTTTAATGGTACACTGTAAATGAGAGTCATGGCAAATTGTGCAACAAAATTATCACAGAACCAGAATCAACAGGTGCCACACGCCCAATCGCTGCTTCTCCAAAGTCAGGGTCCAGAATCTCTTCTGTTGCAAATTCATCACCATCCAAAGGAACAGTGCGAACCTTGAAACTAGCAGGCATCAATCCTTGACCAGGACTATGGCAATCCATTGTTTTCTCCCAGCTCTGCCAAGACAAAAGAGAAGTGACTGTATGACAAACAAAAAACTGAACACCAACTACAATATAGGGTAAAATAAAGGTATCAACTCAATTGTATAGTTCAGTAATTCTAACCAGCAGACAGCAGCTTGCCAGCTTACCAAGTCTGTCATATTTGGCCTAAGTAAATGGAAGACCAAACATTGCTTTGAGGTATTAAGGGCTTGTGGCCAGTCATCCCTCAATTCTTTCCCTTATCATAGGTGGTTAATCCATTAAATTATTTCTTCACCAAATGAAGATCCTGTGGATCCTAGAAACAGTATGGAAAGGATTTCTATTTCTCTTTTACATATGTTGATAACTATAAATGGTTACCAATATTCCTGTTGAAACAAATACATGTTTGCCAAATATTACCATCACAACTTTAAGATTGTCTAGTGTTGCTGAGTCAATACAGACTCCTCTTACCTTGACATTTCTGCTTCCCTTCTTGGGTATGCTGCTCAGAGTCTTCCAATTACCCACTGAGGAGCTGTACGAGGTTTGATAATAGAAAGCAGACATGTGTTTCATGTAAACATTTTATCACTCTTATCAAGTCTGTCAAGGAACACTTCACATTTCTTTCTTCTACAGGTTAAGTTCAATGAATTATGAGACTTCTCAAGTTCTCATGGTCTGGAGTGGGTATTACCACATTACACATCCATATTTGTGGATTAGTGAAGACACTCTTACTAAGAGGAAGGAAAAAAATATATATATTTCTTTTCCTAGATGACAAGCTATTTCTATCTTCTTTATGTAGAAAAAATTGGTTTAATTCATGGTGATTGTTCACTAATGACCAAGACAGAGGCACACGCAAAGTACACATTGAAAAAGTCCTACTATTTAAGTGATGTCGGAAGAATTGAGCATCTAAAAATTTTTCTATACTCTGCAACAGAATGGAATTTCTGAAATGAATTAGTGGGCCTTACTCCTATTAGATGATCCCTAACAGTATACAGTGATGGAAACAGCTGGAAGTATGCACATGAGGACTTCCCAAAAAGTTATAAGTGGAGGCGGTGTACATTTAGTAATCAGTATACATTCCAAATAGAGGATTTACAAAGGCAGTGATAGATATGATGTCCCTTCATGCCTGTCCAGATTATAATGAACCCTCAGTCAACCAACTACGTGCATTCAAAAGCATCCATTATATGCATGTGCCAGACCAAATGAGAAGCATGTTAGATGTCAAGTTTGAAAATGAAGTATTTATCGACTTTAGTTCTCAGTATGAAGGTTATTGATACTTGACCTTGAAACTACTAGTTGTGATAAGCCATGAAATCATTTTTCACGAAGATGCAGCATGGAATTAGTGAAGAAAGAAAAAAATAAAGTAGAAAGATTTATTTTCCCATAGAGTCAGTTTGCCCATACAGTCAGTTTGCCCATACACCTTCAGGCATTCAGAGATATGAATCATCAACCTTACAATCCTAAGGTAGGACTACATCATTACCAAGCAGGCAAGCAGTCCATAAGGAAAGAAACCAATCTCAAATTTTTAAGCAAGATTTTCCCAAGGTATTGATGTCGGAAAAAAAAAAAAAAAAAAAAAAAAAAAAAAAAAAAAAAAAAAAAAAAAAAAACTGGGTAAAACATGTAATCTGTGATCCTATAAGGTTTGAAGAGTGTGCCCAATCCAAAATGGAAAGCTGCAACGGAGAAAAACTGAAGATGATTATTTGGACTGGGAAACATATGGAAACACCACCATGATATGAGAGTTACTTTTTCCTACAAGACCAACTTTAATCCACATAGCACAATAGTAGGCTGCTTGTCAAAGTTTACTCACAAGTCACAACAGTAAGAAGTGAATTTTATGAGATTTTCGCGTCCAATTCAATACATGATAATATGATATCATACATGACGTTCCAGTTTTAGCAGCTTAGAGCATGGAAGGTACAGCAGATGAAGTAAAGTCTGCATGACTTACGAGTTAAGACAAGTTCAGGATCAACAACATCAAGGATCAAATGTATATGGTAAACAGAAAAATACTTTACAGGATCAAAAAAAAGCTCAAAGTTTTGAGCATGAAGGGAAGTGCCATTCGATATCTTATGTCAAGAAGTATGACAATGGGTCTATTAAGATTTGTTAAAGAGGTTCAAGAAAATGAACTGTAATCCTTATTATCACTATTAGGGTTGTTCACCGGTCCAAGACCGGACCAAAGACTGAATATTTAAAATTAAAGACCAGAAGATCAGACATCCAAACTAGTATTCGTCCCAGACTGAATCATTTCAACTCGTCCGAAACTCGGACCGGACAATTTAGACCATATTCAGAAAGAAAAAAAAATAAGAAATATGATTTTTTTTTTTTTTTTCCTTTTTAATGCCTATTTTGATGTCTTACATAAAATAACTCATAACAGAAAGATATACATAGCATAATGAAGTTAAAAACTAAACATTATAAAGGTTTTTATTTACAAGTACAATTAAAAAATTAAAAATAAATAAATAAATAAATTGTTCAGTCTAGTTGTTTTTAAGGGCTTCAAACTACACGGGAAATTTAATGAAAAACCTAATGCCTAATCCAGGACACCCTTTGAAGAAGTTCTCGCATAAGTTACTGTTATATTTGGCTTAGAATACAATTCACACCTAGCAAGAGTATCTGTGTTTTAATATTTAACATACTAATTAGCCTGAAGAAATTATCTTGATTTATAATTTTGATCTATTATTTAATCAGCTTATAATCTTTCTTTATTGTGTGGGTTTTACATGGTGCAGTTTTAAGTTAGGCTTATTTTAAGTTCATAAGTTATTAATAAGGTTTCCCAATCTATTCAGCAGATTGTTTCTAGTCTAGTAGGAAAATAAGTTCAAAGTAAGACTTATGAACATGCAAAAGTCATTAAAAACACACACACAAAGTAGTCTATTATGTTGTACTATAGTTCTTGTCCTTGCCTTTTAACATCACAATTTTGCACAAGGAAATTTTTGAGCCGACAAATAAATTGCTAGAGATTTCAGATGAATAACAAGATATTCACCAAGGAAATATAGAAGATAACACAAGAGTAAGTTCAGGTGAATCACAATTATCTGAAGGAAATAAAATATTCTTGAAATTAGAACACATAAAAGTTTCCAATCATCAAAAAACCTAGAAACTGGAGATGACGCACATGTAAGATCAAAACAAATAGATCTACGGAAGTTCAGCAGATTTCCTTTGTGACTATATAACTGCCCTAGCAGGGCTAGCACTGTCTGTTTCGATAAATGTAAAGCATGAAATGCCAACTACTAGAACTGTCACATCAATTTATAAGATTGACAGAGCAAGTTGATAACATGATTTATAAGAAAAAGTGAGTTTAAGATGAGACTTCCATACACTCACAGTGTGTATCGAAGATTCCAAGGCTTCATGAGTATGAGAGGGAAGATATTCAGAAAAGGGCACTAAGGGAAGGCATCAATTATGGCCCGTACACATTGGCTAGGGCCAAGAAAACACTAGCTTGATATTTTAAGTTGGGAACTTGACCAGCTTGTATAAATGGCTTCTTATCAACCAGGAGTAAGGACAGTTTCCTTGACTTGGATATATCGTTAAAAGGCTCTATTTATATATTCGAAAACTGTCTTGCACAGCCAACACAGAGTTCCTTCAAGCCTTGATAATTCTTTTAAGAGCATGTGCATAGGGGCTCTTGAAATAGCTCTCTGCATGACTCTTCAAGGAGAGAGAAAATCAAGAGTCACTCTGCCCCAATAAGGGATACCTTAAGTAGCTATTGAGTAGCTCTCCATGGACAGTGATTTAAAGATGGCTCTTGGCTTTTTTTGACAGAAGGGTGGGGAGCCTTTTGGAGAGACATCTTTACCAATGTACATAACATAAGAGGTGACAAATAAGCTAAATGTTGATCCTGATTATCCTGTGTGGTCCATCAAAAATACTTCAGACCATACCTTAAGTGAGGTCTATGATGGATTAATGTATGTTGCTCCTAAGTCCTAACTATACATTTGGTGCAATCAACTTCAGATTCCACAACAACAATAAATAAATAAATAGAGATAAGAACTACTGTTCTAGTGCATAGAAGAATCATTGGTGAAAGTAACAAGTAATGACTAAAGATACCAACAAATATGCTTGTATACACTACCTCGGTAACTTCTGATTAAGATACGTACCTGAAGCTGAAGTGTGTGAAGGAGGAAGTTGCGCACAATTTCATACTCTCCTTTCAGAAGAAAAGCCATTGCAGATGGTATAAAGTCTCGAATAAAGACCTGATCATAATTTAAGGCATCAGAACTAGTAGGATCATTAGCAGCAATTGTTCCAACAGGGCTACCACAATAATTGACAACAGATTCTCGTAAGAGCTCCCATGCTTCCTCCTCAATAGGGTCGACAGTGCTATCGTCCCTTGCAGCTATTTCAGTCTCTGCCGAAACTAAGTTCCTGTCAGATAGAGTAACTTCTTTTTCACCTTGCAGCTGTTGAACATCTTCTAGAGTATTTGACCCATTCACCACACTATTAATGGGATGTAGGTTTTTTGCATCATCAACATACCAAGTTCCATTACCATCCACCGGAGCTGACTCTTTAACACTTTCAGCAGATTTACAGCAGAAGATTGAGGACCTAGATCGATGTGTTGCAACTTCATACAAGCCACCACTTAACCCTCCAAACCCAAATTTAACATTTTGCAAACTGGAACATTGCACAGCTTGGGAAAATCTTAAACCCCGTTTCAAAACAGATTTTCTATAAGATTTTGAAAATACTGATGAATCATAATTGCTGATGTAACTGGTGCCAATACGATAAGGAGAAATTCCACAAAAATTTTGCATAATACCCTCAGAAGTGGCCATTGAAGAAAAAACCAACACAAACTTCAAAATCCTCCAATAATTAGACAGCTGAAAGAACACACCACCAATAGCACATCAAAAACTCGTCTAAAAAGCAAAACATACTCCTACTTATTTGGACAAAATTCTTCAAACTAAAAATTCAAAAAAAAAAAAAAAAAAAAAAAATCCATCAATAACTAAAAGTCACATTCCCACATTTCCCATTTAATGAAGGATTCACCGCGATGGATTCACCGCAATTTTACGCAGATAATCCTTAATAATAGTTGTCTGATTTCCATCCTATCCATAAGAAATCAAAATTATTTTACTAATAAATTCGGAAATTAAATATGGCCAAAGACAAGACTCCATTTTCATAATTCTGTCGTAACATTCAAGTCTGTCGTAACATTCAAGGATTTTGCAATACATTAGCATCCGAAATTGACTCAATTATTAATAGTATTTTGTCAATTTAGAATATGAATACCATAATTCTGTCATTTCAGTAACTACATTATCAGTTCAATTTCAATAATATACCACAAAAGAACCCTAAATTGATATAAATTAACAATCAAATCAATACTAGATTGTGAAAATCACATTGGATGATCAAGGAAAACATCTTACCGACGCTTCCAATGGAGAAGAAAAAGCTCAAAAGCCACTTCAATTGGAGGAAAGTAACAGGGAGGGCTGCACGTGAAAAACTCTAATAATCCAATATCCTTTTGATTCAATTTTTTTTTAATGGATATCTACGTATCCTTTCACGAGCCGGCCCCCATCCATCAATTGGATAAACAAGAACTCATATCATATTATATAACTAATATATAAAGCTAAACTTTTAATCAGTCCACGAGATAGCGACACTTGACATTTTAACTTTTTGTCAAGTGTCGTGCCACGTTGGATACACTTAAATAGACTTCATAAGATAAATTAATTAGTTTAGATTTCTATTTTTAATCAAACTTTGATAGAATTTTATAATAAAATTGTTAATTGATAGTTTTATTTTCGATAAAATACCAATATTTCATAGGTTTGAATTGAATTATAATTTTATTAAAAGAACATTAGATTATAACTCTATTTCATATGTATAAATTGAATTATAATTTTATTCAAAAAAATATTAGATTATAACTCTAAAATAAATATCAATATTATTATTAGTCATTTATATGCCTACTACATAATTTAAATCGTTACAAACGTACTTCAATTCCTAAATAATTTTGTATTAGATATATATTTTGAAATTTGAATATAGATTTAAAATTTAGCTCAAAAAGTTAATAAAAATCCCTGGCATCGCACGGGGCACGGGTTTTAACTTTTCGCCAAGTGTCGTGTCACATTAAATAGATTTAAATATACTTTATTTATAAGATTAAAAAGTTAGTTTAAAATTCTATTTTGATAGAATTTTAGGATAAAATTGTTAGTTTAGAATTTTATTTTCGATATAATACCAATATTTCAGACGTATAAATTGAATTATAATTTAATTAAAAAGAATTATTAGATTATAATTCTAAAAAATTATGATATAAATTTATTTTTTTGTATCATAATATTTTTTGAAACGAAGGAAGTAGTTTAAAGCGTAAATCATTCATTTATAATAAAATTTATACGTCTGCTGCCCACCTCTTATCCATCACCCCACCTTCTTAACCTCCACCACACCAATTCCCCTGCTCCCTCACGCACACAGCAACCACCAATCAACTCCACCTCACAGCCGCCAAAACCAGAGCAGCACCGCGAACCCCCACCTAGCAGCAACCCACCATCAATCTCCATCAAACCTCACCAACCTTACCTCTCTCCTGCTCACCCTTCACCAATCCGCATCTCACCCCAATTCACCAACAACAATACCAGCAGCAGCAGCGTTGCTCACGCAATCCCCTGCTCCCTCACGTCAACCAGCCCACGCAACTCCCTGCCCCCTCAATTCCACCACCGCAGCAACAACAAAAACATCCCTCACACCAACCACCGTACCACACACAGCCGTCCACCAAAACAGCAGCACCGCGCACCGCACCACCGCCGCAGCCACTCAATTTCAGCCACCCAATCTCCGCATCCATCGCAATTACTCAACCCTTCAATCAATCGCCCAAAATCAGAGCAAATAGCAAATCAATCGGGTTCGAGCAAACCGCATAGGAGTTCGATCGAAGTGCGAGTCAGAAACTTTTGAAGTTTTGTAATTTGAAGAGGTGTGGGTCGAACACACCCATGGTTCGACCGAACCAACCCTGTAGTTTGGCCACACCAACCCATGGTTCGACCGAACCATTTCACAAGCTTCGAACATGATGTTTAATAAGATCGAACGGTTGATATTGAAGGTCGAAGCGAGGATAGCCATTGATGAACGGTGGTGATGGTGATGCGCTTCAAGGGAGTTTAGAGCAGCCAAATGCGAAGAAGAAAGCTGGAGTCTGTTGGTTTTGTGGGAATTGGTTTTTGGTTTTATTTTTTTTCTTTTAGTTTTATTTTTCTCATTTACTTTCCTTTTCTTATTTCTTTCTTTTATTTTTATTTTCATTTTCCCTTTTGATTTCTTTATATTTCTTTTCTCTTTTATTTTGCTTAGTTTTATTAGCTTTGTATATATACCCATTTTTGGGGTAATTAGTAGAACATGAAAGAGAACAATTACCAATAATTCAATTCTCTAATTAGTTTTTAGGAGAGCTTCTCTCTCTAGGTTTAGGTTAGGATTAGAGTAGTTTAGAGAGAGAAAGTAAGGGTTTCACCATTGTTGAGTTTGGATTTTGAAGAAGAAATTGATCATCTTTTCTATAGACTTTCATCTTCAATCAATGAGAATCTCTAACTCTCTCTCCTCTATTTTTATTGCTTTCTTTTGATTATTATTTTAGTTGTTGGTATTGCTTGTTAATCATGTTTATTCTTGATTATTTGTTAATTAATCTTGTTATTAGCATGATTAGTGAGTAATTCCCGCATTAAGGGGATGGTTGTGGTGTAGTTGGATCTTGAGCATGTTCTAGGGTTTAGAATTGATTTATTTGTGATTAAAGTCTTTATATGCTTGATATTCTTTAATCTTCTAGCAAGTGCACATTGTTGGTTGATTAAAGGTGAATCTTTGCTAACAAGGAACGGAAGTTGACTTAGTTAAGGTTCATTACTATCGATTGTTATTTAATAGTACCTCCTAGTATATGGTTCTAATGTGGAAGCATAGAGGCTATGTTAGGAGAAGCCAATTGACCCCGGAAGGCGGCTAGATTAGATCTTTTATTTCGATATTCGAGCATGTTTAGTTCATAATTAATTCAATTTCTATGCCTTTGTTTATGTTCAAGTGAATGCTATACCTAAACCATTTCCCTTAATGTTTTATTTCTTGTTCTAGCATCTTTAGACTTTAGTTTATTTATCTCTTATTCTGGACTAGCTTAATTGTTGATAACATTTGGTGGTGTTTATTCGTTCCCTATGGTTCGACCCCTATGCTTGCCTTATACTCGTATTAGGTTTGTTTAAGTTGTATAAATTGTATTTGATATAGGGATAGTCGTTTCACGACGCGATTATTCCCTTGTCAAAAATTTCTTTTGACTGTAAAAAGCGTCGAGAAACACTTATATCACAATTAGCTGTTGACGCTCTTGCTCTGGCGTCGAGGCTATACTGTCGAAAATACACTCCTTTTGTAGTAATTATCATTGTCTTCTATAATAGGTATGGGAACTTGCTGCACGGCTGAAATAGGTTGTGTAGAGACGGGAGGTTGCGTTCTCCCGGATCTTGTGAGGACGTCTATAGGTGAATCCTCTTCATCCTAAAAATCACCTATTGAATACGACACAGAAAGTGGAGGTTTTTCCATGTCTTTTAGGTAGATGTCTTCTTCGTGACTGTCCCAAACCCCGTTAATGCTTATGTCTTCTTCTTGTGGGATTTGAACTAGCTTTCTATCTTCAATCATCTTCTAAATTAAATCTTTAAATTTAAAACAGCTTTCAATGGTATGTCCTCTTGATTGATGGTATGGACATTAGAACCTATCTGTCCTCATTAGAGATTCAAATGATGGTCTCGGTTCGAGAGGTTTGACCTTACCATTCTCGGAGAGCATTTTGAACATTTTAGCATAGGTAGTCCCAATTGGAGTATAAAGTTTACTACTCTTCTTGGGCGTGTCAATTACTTGTAGAGGGAATGTTTTCTTTTCATGGGTGGAACTTTATCGTACTTTTTCTGAAGTTCCTCCCCTTGTTTATTTTCAAATTCAATAGCCTCACGTAGTAAGTCTATTCCCTCCCACATGGACCATATAAGCATCTGCACGTCTTCCTTGGTTCCTGGCTCGGGAAAATCATCCATGGCATCGAAAAAGATTTCCTCCTCTTCTTCGATAACATGAATTTCTTCAATAGGTTTGATGAGAGATGAGGGATCAACATTGTTTTCCTCATCAGAGATGGCCAAGAAATCAGAGAGAGGTTCATTGTTGATGCTTGGCTTCTTACTGGCAGGGGGCAATGGTAGTTTATTATTATCAATTAAAATTAAATCTTGGATAGCTTCCTTAAGCTTCCAACAATTCTCAGTGAGATGGCCCCTACCTTAGTGATATTTGCAGTGTGCATTGGGGTTCCAATTAGCTGTCCTCTTTTCAACTAGTGGGTCCCCAAATGGTCCAATAGGAGTTATAAGACCTTTTGCATTCAGTCGATCGAATGCGGTGTCATAACTCATACCAATAGGAGTAAAGTTCCTCCTAAATGGTTTCTTTTGTCCTTGGATGTTCATAGCAAGGACTTCACTCAAATTAAAGGTGCTAACATTGTTTGAGTGGGTGGTTTTGGAAGAAAAAGGATTGTCGTTCTTCTTGCCTTTCCAGCCATTGTTGGAGTTATTGTTAGCAACTTTTTGTTTAGCAAGGTCGTCTTCAATGTTAATCCCAATATCATAGATGGCCTTGAAGGTGTGTAGATTGTTTTGATATTTTAGATGCTTGGAGTACTTTTCTTGAAGGTTCTTGATGAACAACCTCACATATTCTTTTTCGCTTGGTACTTCAAGCATCCTAGCAGAGGTTTCTCTTCGTTTATTAAAGAAAGAAGTGAATCCTTCATTCTCTTTCTGTTTAAATTTCTCAATTTCCCTATGATCAGTTTCAACTTGAATATTGCATTTATACCTATCAATGAAAGCGTTTACTATTGATTCCCAAGTAGAGATTTTCTCTTTGTTAAGGAAGAATAACCATTGTTCGCAAAACGGTTTCAAGAGATAAGGAAAATAGAGAAGGAAATACTGTTTTATCAATACCCTTAATACTCATTATTGTTTCAAAAGCTCTTAAATGGAAATAAGGGTTATCAGTTGCCTTGAATTTTGGGATGTCGTTGGCATTGAACTTCTGCGGAAGAAGCTCCTTGTCTACCGAGACCCCTTAAGAGCTAATGCCCTGAAACTTGTAATCACTAGATATCTTGCTCAAGCTATCTAGCACAAGATCCATTTGTTGCTGCTTCACAGGATCATTAATTCGGAGGGTTAAGGTCTTTAACAGTTTAGTAACACCAGCCATTTGCTTCTTGAGATCATTAACTTCTTCTTGACTCGCCATTATTTTCTTGGCTTTCCTTTTTCGAGCGATTGGTTTGTCAAAAAGTTGTACTTGAATGAAAAGGTTGTCTTTGATCAAACACCCTTCCTTTCTTGACCACGCGCTGTAAATTAAACCATTTTATATTTTAATGACTTGACTCAGATTGACTTTGGCTTTACGGGTTTATAA